ACTAAATACCTTACCTTTCATTGTGCCCTAAAACGTCGGTCTTTATGGGTTTTTTATTCCTAATGTAACAGCACAATGTGCATGAAAAAAGAAATTATTCTTACAATAATCGGTCGTTCCTTCCAAATGCAGAAAATGGGCGCGTGTTCCAAACCCTTTTGATTCTATTAAGAGGTAAGATTATGTCAAACCAGTTTATTCAATCGAGTACTCACGAAACGTTGCTATTAAGACCAAGAACTTGTGATAATAATTTGATATCATTATATGATGGAACTTCATGTTCCTCAAGAATCTTATCCCTACTGAATTGTGTCGTCATCTACCGCATTTCATACTGTTTTTTTACCCTAAAGTACCGTCACAATTTAGATTTTATACAATTGATCCCACATTATACTAGATTTTAAACTGTTTTTACCCAAATGTACCGTCACGATTTAGATGTTTTACTGTTTGATCTCATGTTCTACTCGATTTTAAACTGTTTTTACCCTAAAGTACCGTCACGATTTAGATATTACACTGATTGATCCCACATTATAATAGATTTTAAACTGTTTTTACCCTAAAGTACCGTCACGATTTAGATATTACACTGATTGATCCCACATTATAATAGATTTTAAACTGTTTTTACCCTAAAGTACCGTCACGATTTAGATATTATACCGATTGATCCCACATTATACTAGATTTTAAACTGTTTTGACCCTAAAGTACCGTCACGATTTAGATATTATACCGATTGATCCCACATTATACTAGATTTTAAACTGTTTTGACCCTAAAGTACCGTCACGATTTAGATATTATACCGATTGATCCCACATTATAATATCTTTTAAACTGTTTTGACCCCATATAGTACCGTCAAGATTTAAATGTTATCTAATTAGATGCACATTTTTTGTTTGACACCTTACCTCAAATTTGTTTCATCATCACTTCAGAAATATAGAAATTAATTACTTGGTTATTTAAGCATTTTTCTGTTTAGTAAATAAGCATAATAAATTATTCTTTCTACACTGAAACGGAAAGTAAATATAGAAATATTAATTCCCGAGCAGACAGAAAAACATTCAGTACTTGGCATATTCAACTTGAATAACACTTCATGCGTTACATAGGCTTAAATTCGATTTCTTTCTTATCGTTAATAACTTTCTTTGCAATTGATAATTTAATATTCAATGTTGTAGATGAATAATGTTGTTATTGTTGTAGTTATATATATAAGTACACATTCCCCGAAATAATTGTCTTAAGGAAGTGCGCGTGAGATTCGAACGTCAGCAACTTTATGGTAGATTGTTGTAGCTCAATCCTAATTCTTTTACCGACAGTTGGTGTGAAAGGTTATCCATAAAGCATTACGTCAAAAATATTATGCAACTTGTAACACAGAGAATAAGTTGATAATTGGAACGTCTTTTCGTACATATAAGATACACGAAGAATCTCAACTCTATAGTTTTTGTTCAATTTGAAGTAAAATGGAGATCACGTATAAAACAACTTGTGTTGCCGACTTAGAGTACACTTTATTAAAAGGGGAAAGATTCCACCGTTCTTAAGAGGTTTAGTCGCCGCAAGACCGATGGCAGAAGAAACTTAAGTCAATAATGAGATAGTATTGAAAGTTATATGACGTAGGTTGACTACGTAGTTTTAAATTCAGATTACCAGTTCAGTAATGGCAATTCGCTATGTTGGCCTACTTTTTCGTAAAACGACTTGGAGAAGCTCTTTATACATATATATATTATCACGTACACGATCTATTGGAAAGTATGCACATATCGTGCCATCTGTTGGCCAATGCAGTCACTACAGAAATTCGTAACGAATCTCACTGCAAAATTCTGGTTTCTTTCTTAAAATACTCGATTATTTTAAAATGTCCGTTAATACTATGTAATTTATTTATTGTTTTGGGAAAAGTGAGTAATTAAAATGCAAAAGAAAATTAATAAAAACGTACCAGTAGTGTCTGTGACAGTAACACGTCATTATGTGATTGGAAACGCATATCGATTCTTTACATTGAAGTTGTTATACGTCATTCAGCTCTATATTTAAATCTATTTTAGTTTTTCAGAGAATTCTATGATAAACAATGAAATGTTGATACGTCTTTATAGTGTTTCTACAATTACACTTTACAGCAGTTTTATTGTAACTCACGAATGAGCATAGATGAATTCTGATGTACGAGCTGGTGGTTTCCTCACCCTGATAAAATACACGGGGCAAACTTACGGTTCCCTCACCCTGTCACAGTACACAGGGCAAGCTGATGGTTTCCTCGCCCTGTCACAGTACACAGGGCAAGCTGATGGTTTCCTCGCCCTGGCACAGTACACAGGGCAAGCTGATGGTTTCCTCGCCCTGTCACAGTACACAGGGCAAGCTGATGGTTTCCTCGCCCTGGCACAGTACATAGGGCAACCTGATGGTTTCCTCACCCTGTCACAGTACACAGGACAAGCTAACAGTTTCCTCGCCCTGTCACAGTACACAGGACAAGCTAACAGTTTCCTCGCCCTGTCACAGTACACAGGGCAAGCTGAT